CCATATAACTTGATTTGTACCGCAGTTCCATATGCAAGGTCTGCGTAATTCCACTAATTTTCTAACAACAATCATCCGATGTACCTAAACAATCCCATGAAACTATAAAGTTTAACCTGAAGGTTTACACATATAAAGTTATATTTAACAGAATATTTATAAACATTTTATTTCTCACAATATTAATGGAAATAAGGTGTTCATTCTCCCCCCTTTTTTTTAACTCGATGGATTTACACGCTCATTATCGCTGTCTGGTTTTGTAGACGTTCGCCACTTCCGTTAGAAGACTTTGCTTTGTTTCACTGTCGTCCAAAGTGGTACTTTTCCAGTTGACTGATTTTTGTGGACGCATGGAAGAATATCCAGTTTCAGTTCCAGACACTGAGGAAATGAAATGTTTAATGAGATTTCTTTCACATAATCCACGTTTAACGTTTTGAAAGCGACTCGGGCCTCGATCGGACGTTATGGATGAATTATGATTGTATAATTGAGCGATTTGCAAGATTCAGTGCAGCTGATGCGTGCCAGATAGAGACGGGATCGATTTTACAACTCAGTTTATCTTGAGAATGAACTTTTTTTAAAATTTTAGTAAATTAAATTTAAGCTGTCCTTGTAATATTTTAGAAGAGAAGATTACCATGAAATGCACAAAGAATACTGTAGAAAAAAATTAATGTATCTCAAGTTTAATAAAATGGACTTAAAAAATATACTTGATATTTTTTCACTCTGCAGTATCATTAGCATTAAACTATTATACAGAGAGATTTTTAGAAATGTATAATAATTACACATTCTTATAGTATTAATTATCTATTTTTTATTTTCAGTTGCTGTGAGTAATTAACCTGTAAAACACGGCTTTCATAAAAGTTTGTTGCACGGTCTATTTACTTAAATATTAAACCTTGTACTTTCAAATATAAAATTTCTTAGGAGAAATAGGGAATTTTTTAAACCAGTTTCAAACTTTCGGAAAGAGATATCTCTAAAAATAAAATATAAAGTTTTGTATAATCTCCGTTGAGAGCCATTTCACATTAAAAATTATTCATTATTATTTTACTAGTTAAAAATTTTCCTTAATTTTAAATGTAATATTCAGGGCGACAACCTTTATAATAACACGGCATATAAAATAGAAAGCTTCAAATTAAGTAATGGATTCTATTCTTTTGAAGACAAAAATCATTCAGTTCTGAAAAAACGAGCAGAACTTTCCTTGTGTTCTTCTCACCTTAAATTTATTCATCTATTCACATATATCTTAAATTCAAGTCAAAATTGTCACGGAAAGTAAGTCCGTAAGTCGTTCTAGAAATTGCAGAGGTTGTTAAAAGTAAGTGTATGGAATTGTTTAACTTATTAAGGAATTCATTACTGTTTTCACCCTAAAACTTTGTATAATCTGAGAATAATTTAAAGAATTAATATAAACCATAAAATTTCATTTTTACGGATTCTGCAATCCATACTGATGACATTAGTTTCACGAAATTACGTATTTTATGTTCAGAACTGGAGAATTGTTCAGAATTTTATTGTTTCGTTTTGGAAATGAATATTTTTCCCGCAATGGCGGGCACAAGGCCAGAAGAGGTGGCCATTTTATTGTGGAGGCACCTAATGGGCAGCCACCACTACCTCCTATGAAGGAACAGACAATTTTACATCCATGCCTTCTCCCGTATACGCACCCGGGGCCTTCGGTATCTCCCTCAGACTTCCCTAATCGCTATACCCTCTGGGCGGCCGAAAATAAATAACTAGAGTTAATATTTATAGTAACAAAAATTATGCTTGAAGTACACTCTATGTATATGCGGATACCAGCAGAATTAGTGTAATGAAGTGACATGATGAAATGAAAAAGGATTGAAAAGTATGGTAAAAGTCGTGCAATAAAAATAATGAAGTGAAAAAAAAAGAAAGTATCTAACAACTGCAGGAGATGCATTCTAGCATCAGTTTGATTAAATAGGGAGATATTCATTATTAATTCGAAATTACATTAGTGATATAAAAAGAATTTTTTATCTCATTCCTAAAGTCCAAGCTAAGTTTTCAAAACAGAGTAACGAATAAAATTAGTTTCCTTATTTCATTCAAGTGCATATACTTTCTACTTCAGGCCGCTATTCCACCAACGTACAGAGAATTCAGAGTTTGGAAGAAATAATTTTCTTTATCATCGTTTCATTCAATTTAGAATTCCATCAAGCTTTATTCAACCTTGACAGCAGTATATCTTTAGAAAGAAGTTAGAAAGAAGATGATAATCTAGCCAATATTCCTGAATAATTTTCCTGGATAAATTTGAGTAAACAGTGAATATTCTGCTGCTTACTGAAATTTTGCAATTCATTTCTTGCATTTATTTGATCCATACATGTAAATTGCATTATTAAAAGAATACAAAACGTTGGCCATAAATTTTCTTAATAATATCATGCCATTAAATTTTTTGAAGCAATTGACCATTTTAAGTTACGTTAAATTTGAAATATTTTGAATATTTCTAAATAGTTGTAGTGTAGAGTCTTTAGGGGTTTTACTGCTGGATACATAAAAAATGCACATTGGAACCTTGGACCCTGGACTATGCGTCAAATGTGCTTCCAAGTACACCATAAAGGCATACGGAAAGGAGGGACAGAATATACTTCCCCTTATAAAGGGCGAGTATGGGATTGGGGGACCCAATCACCGAATCCTGGTGGTGACGAAGTAACGTCCACAACCTTATAGGAAATGCCTCCCGTCTTCGTAGTGTAGTGATCAGCACGGTATTCGAGAGGCCCGTGGTTTGAGTCACTACAGTGGCGCCCGAACTAAAAGGGTGATGGATAATGATTCTCCACCCCCAGGATTTGGCAATCGGGTCCCCTAATCTGCAGTCGCCCTTTAAAAGGGGGAATACATAAGGCATTTCCCCCGCCTTCTTAGCATGCCTTTGTAGTGTAGTGATCAGCACGCTCAGCGCGTATTCGAGAGGCCCATGGTTCGAGTCAGGGCGAAGGCGCTGCTCATTTTTCATCTCTCCTGCTTCCGAAATAACCTAATGTCTCTAAAACACCTTATAGTTTGACAGCCACTCGTTAGAGTCATTATGTTATTTGAAGCAGGGAATTGAAAAATGTGCAGTGCCCTAGCTGACTCTCAAAGCCTGGATCTCTCCAAATACTCCTGGAGTCTGCTTCCAATTACACCACGAAGATATGCGGAAAGGAGGGAGAAAATACCCTATAGTATATCCTTGGAATTAAGCTTCACTGCGTTTTAGGAAGGGAAATTTTTAAACTAAAAGCTTCAGAAGCATTTTTCGTATGTTTCTGTTAACGCAAGAAGTTAGCAAAGCACATTTGTTTTTTCAGTGGGCAGAGCCTCAAACTGACGATTTCAGGTTAAGCAAACTGAAAAATGTCAATCATTTTGTTGCCTCTTTGCACGTTCTCTTTACCTCGTCTTCCCTCAGCTTAACCTACTTCCTCGATAGCTCTTTACACAAAAGTTGCATAATAAGGGATGAAATAATTTGCAAGTGAGGAAATGGTTGTTTAAGTTCCCGAGCTTGGAAATACTTACGAAACAAGTGTTGTCTCTTCGATTATTTGTTCTTACTTCTAATTCCTTGCTACTTGACATATTTCTGTGCTACTGAACATTCAAGTCTTTAAATACCAATATCTATATAATTTGATCATCATCATTTATTATTTTCGCTTTTTAAAATGAAATAGATGTTATTCTTTATTAATTTTTTAATCTTTTACGATAGTAAAGCATGCAACTAAGATAAGTCATGCATTGATTTCATGATATCATTACTCTCTTTCTCTGAGATATTAATTTTTAATACTTCAGAAATTCAGGTCTCATTTTGAAAATCATTTGTGTATATTCCCAATGCATTGTTTGATGATTTTTGAAGTAACATTACGGTATACAGAATTCAAGAGATTATTTTCATGAATTTTGGGGAAACTTTTCGAAGTTTCTCAACTATCAAACGTTGCCTTTATACGAAACAAATTTTGGATATTTTCCCCCATTATTATTTTTTTTCATAACTGTTATACGGTTATTCATGTTTGAATAATTTTAATGATACTTTCCATTATAACTTACGCGAAGAACATGCTGCAAAGGAATTCAAATAGTCGATCGGAAATTTTGAACACTAAATTGAGTTCGCTAGATTTCTGACAAATGAAGGAAAGTAATTTTCGTATGTTATATAAAGCTGCTCTGCATTGAATATTAGTACAAAAAAAGGTAGTGATCGTGGTTTTAAACTTAAAAACATTGCATACGTAAATTCGCCCGTCTGTGCTTACAATAAGTTGAAATGTAATCTACATAAATTTAAAATCTGTGCCTTTATATAACGGGTTCACTAATTAGTATTAAAACTTCCCAGTTAGCCCCACCAGTAGCCGAGTTAGGTCTGTTGAGTATTGGGAGTTTGGTGTGGATTAAATCTCAGACGTATGAGATGACTGTTTGGTTGGTTTTCGTAGAATATGTTTCTTCGAGTATAACGTAAATATTGGCAAGTTTCGCTTCGAATGTCCTCCATGATAGCAGATGACTCTCGTGTACTTTACCGCATTCAAATAACCTATCCTGATCAATTTAGAAATATAAGTTTAATTTTTTTCAAATGTGTAACAGAATGGCTTTTTTAAACGCATAATGTTTTGGGGTTACCTTCCAGCAAATTTAGTATTTTTTTAGCCATAAAATTATTGCTTTAATAACGATTAAACATGAAAACAAAGCTGTCAAAGAAATTAAAGGGTTCTTTTATGTCTTAACACACAAGAATCTGAGAGCAAGTTAATGCTTAATCAAAAGACTTTACACAACAAGTGTTAGAAATAAACACAAGCTTCAATGTTAGCTGATAATATCTACATAACTATAAAACTTTTAGGGAATAATTCTAAATAACAATTTTCGGTTTTTCACTACATATTAAATATGTGACGTAGACATACAAATACTTTTATTATTTATTAGCATGCAATATTTACCAAAATGATAAATAGCAGTAATAAATGCAAATTTTTGTTGCTACTATTAATGTTAAATTTCATAACTTATCACTGCTGCACTGTCTTACGGAACGAAGACACATTTTTTACTACAAAATTTAAAATTTCTTCACTTTCGCAAACAACACTGTCTTTGGGTTATGTAATCATCTTAAGTACATGATTCACTTAACACACTTTACAAAACAAATTACACGTTTCACAAAAAGCAACAAAAAAGATAAAGTAACAAGAGTAATTTAAGCTTTCGGTTAAGCTACGGAGGTGCCGAGGTCTGAAATTCATTTTCAGACCACTTTCTGATCTTAAAACCAGTTCGTCCACAATGTGTATTTTGTCGAGTGGTTCCATAGATTTGATTTCAAATTTTCTGAGTATTGTTGCCATCACTGTTATAGCCTCGAAGGTAGCAAATCTTTGCCCTAGAACGAAATAAAAGTATAATAAGTTTTTTTAAATTTTGAGTTGTCTATTAGATAAAAACATCAACTAATCATTCGTAGATTATTATTACAGTTGGAATTGAAAGGTTTATTTTTTAAAAATATTTCTTGTACATTCCATATTGCAACTAGTGCTGCCTATTTAAATTTAGATAAAACTAATATTTCAGTGTGTCAAAATTTAAATATGAAATATGTATTCATTTATTTTTTATTTCGATTATTTCGATAGAAAGCGAAAGTTAATATTGGAATTGGTACCTATAACGCGTTTTACCAGTATTTCTGAAGAGCAGACGTGAAATGAATATTACAGGAACTTAGATTTGTAGAGAAGAATTCGATGCAAAATACTGTTTGTTGTTCATTTTATTAGCTAAATTTGGTTGATAAGATAAAGTTTTATCTAGTTACTTATCATGATTTCGTTACGTTCCAGCGCTTTACACTTTGTGCTGTAAATCTTCAAATAAAGACCATTCTAAAAAATTTAATATGTTATTACCAATTTCTCTCACTATACGAAGAAAAGAGTTCTTATGAAACTTTTCGCAAACAGAAATCCTGTAAATCGAAGAAGCAACTACCACTAATTATACGGAAAAGGCTTTTGAGGTTTTGCATTACATCAAACATGTTATCAAAGATAGCTGTATAATCCTACCCAACTGATTTTAAAATATAAATTAATATTAAATTATAATAATGATATAATAAACACGCAGTTCGTAAAAATAGAAATAATATATTTGCTACGTAATTTCAATCACTTAAACTAAAAAGAGACCACTTGTACAGAAAAATTTAAATGTGATGCATTATTGCATTTATTAAATTTATATTTAAATAATTCAAATAGTGCACACACTTGTATCGCAATGATGGTCGTGAGCTGAGTCTTTGGAAATATGGTGGTAAGATGTACAAGAATACAGTACAGTTATCTAAAGGTACTTTAATTAATCTCTGATAAAGTTATATTGGTCGTTTTTCATGCAAAATATAATGTAAAAAATATTAGAAAAGTAAAGCATGAAGACACATACATTATAGTTGTTAAATTAATTATCAAATTGTAAATTTACTTCCTTTTACTCTTATTAAACTGATATTCTTTTAGTTAAAATTAAAGTCTTGTTTTGTTTCAGTTTATTCGTTTTCATAAAGTCTTGTTTTATTAACATTTTCATGCACAGAGCGTAGTTAACCATTTGGATAATACTAATGTTTATTTATATTCTTAGAAATAGGTAGTCTTGGAAGACAGTCGCTAAGAGGGCTCAAGATAATTACATATTATTTCTGGGAAAAAAAAAAAGAAAAAAAAGAAAAAAAAAAAACTAAATTTAATTTTTTGGCTGTAATTTAAAATTTGAGTTCTTCCCAATTATTGATGTAAAAACGAACTAGTTACTGTTAATGAATGTTTCTGTTAATAAACTGTTTCCGAAATGACCGTCAGTAGACGAGTGAAAATGCTTCTGAGCGAGCACTGGTAGTTCAACCCGACGAACGAGCTGGCTTCATGATATTTTTTTGGGGTTTTCCTAATATATGGCCTAGATATCAGTCAGTTCCTGACAAAGTCCCCAGCAAAGGCATCCCTATTCTTCAGCAACATCCAAATGATTAGTTGCACACTGCATACTGTGCATAACACTTTAAAAAGGCGAATAAAACAAAACAAGACTTAATTTTTATTAAGAGAATATCAGATTAGCAAAAGTAAAATACAATAATTTTATGACTTGGTACTTAATTAAATAATTTAAATGTAGGTAACTTTATGCAAATATTCATCTTCCCTTTCCTAATCTCTTTTACACTGTATTTTTCATGAAAATCTACCAATGATACAAAATATCTAAGCTTTTGAACCATTTATACCACAATGTTTTCTCCGTCCTTTCTTTTCTCCCAAGATGTTTTTTACAACAACGTTTTCTCCTTGCGTCATTTTATCGGCGATGTTTACTTTTGCGATATTTTGCAACGATTTCTTAGGTGGTAACCGCTCTGAAAATGCAATGAGTGGAAGAAACAAAATGAATATATTGAATTCGGTTTGTCTAAATACAGGTAAACAAGAAATTAGCCTTATCTAATTCCGCTATCTTAAGTTCGCCTGTAACCTTCAGAGCAAAAGAAAGTTTTCTAGTGCCTCTAAGCATCTTTATGTTTAGGTAACCTAAAGTTAATCTAAAACCTAAAATTCTTGCAATGGTAGACCTAACATAACAGATTCCTGCAAACAGTGAGATTTTCAACATAGACATACACCTCAAATTACAAAAATATTTTATATGACGTTTTGGACTTTTTAAATTTAGAAAAGAAAATTTTCTCAAATTACGAAATCTGACATTTTGCACATTTCTCTTATCCCTGCACTTATGTTTAGAAAAATTTTTCCTTTCGTTATAAAAAAATAAAACACAAAAGGTTTGATCCCCATACAACAAAAATTGACCGAGATATTTCATATCAAAATCGGGAATCATATTCAGGGTTGTAGACAAATCGAAGAATCGGTAATAAAATTTATGGACGCGTTTTTTGCATGTGTACGTAACAGATAAAATATCCTTTAGAAAAGTGTGTTTGGTGTTAAGAGATAAAGTGACGGGTAGTGGCACGTAGTCAACTCGTAATATTATCTGCATTACCTTATAACGTTGCGCGCCTCCAACTTGCACGCAACCAAGAGGTGACTGTGAAAACTTGTATAAAAGATAGAGCCTTGTGAAGGGTTTAAGTCCCTTTTTATTCAACGTAATAAAATTACAATTGCGTCCTCTTGACGCTTACAGACTGTGCCAACTTGGCAGTCAAATAAAAATAATAACCTGAAAAGAAAGTCAAGACAAGATTCTAACTACGAGGCTCTCTAAAATAACTAACTCACCGCGTTTTACAATACCGCTGCTAATTCAGCAGACTTGAGCTCACTGGAAAGATCACCACTACTTCCCGCCAAGCACATAGGCCGCAACGCGGGGTTCTTCAATTCTCGCTAACTACCTCCGCGCTCGTGCAGTAAGAATATCACTCACCGAACTTGTTTCCTTCTATTTAAATCAGAATACTTCCGCTGATAATTTGAATGCTTGCGCGTTCTACTAAAATTTACATATTCTGGCATTGGCAGTTCCAGGGGAAAGTAAGGCTTGACAGGAAAGATAGTTTAAACTTAAAATAAATGTTAGTTAAAATAAATATAAACCCTACAACCTTGAATAATTCTTATTTGTTTAATGACTCCTGAATACAAACTCAAAATCATGTCAAATGTCACAAATTTTGAAATTAACTATTTCGTCAATTTTTTCGTACGAAAATCAATTATTTTGTGTCTCATTTTTATAACGAGTACAATTTTTTTTTACAATATAAATGTATTTACCAAAGGAATGTGTAAAAATTTAAAATTCGTATTTTAAGTAAAATTAAATTTTTAAAATAAAAATATCAATAAAAATAAAAATATCATGAATATTTGCATCATTTAAAACGTTTTCATAATTGGAAGTACATGTTTACTACGAACAACTGGGAAAATAAAGGCAGGGTAATAAAATTTATGGGCGGGGTGTATATTTATCTCTTTGTACGGGAATGATTTATATCTAAAATAATATGTTCAGAAAATATTAATCTTACCGATGCAGTTTCTAGGCCCTGCAGAAAAAGGAACATACGCAAACGGGTGCCTTCCAGTGGAATTTGACAGCTGAAAACGGTCAGGATCAAATACTTCAGGATTCGGAAAGACATCTGGGTCACGATGCAGCATATATATCAAAATTCCGCAACTTGTACCTTTTGGTATCATGTATCCATCTACCAGAAAAATTATTTTCTTATGAAATACATTTAGCATCACTCAGAAAAATGGTAGCATGTATAAGATACATAGTTCATGTTTTGAATCAGGATTTATTACTTATAGATAATGTCAACCATTGTTTTAGGAAAGACAAAACTGAAGTAAGCCGGCTTATTAATTAACATTTCAAGGAAACGAATGAGCTAAATTTTTCCTGTCAAAAGCAGAGAGTTTAAAGTAAAAAATTCACAAAAGAAATATTTGGTAAATATAAATTTTATCCTTTAATGTACAGAGGGGGTTCGAACATTTTTTAGACGATTTTGGTAAGGGGTAATAAAAATCGTTTGCTGCAAAAGAAGTAATTGCAATTGTACTATGTTTTTAAAAGTCAAAATTATTGTCTGTGGCTTCAAAGTTTTGTTTTTATTCAAAATGGCGAATTTAACAAAGCAGTGGTTCGAAGGCTACATTTACGCTCTTTCCGAAGAGAAATATGCCTACTCCGTTATCCAAAAACGATGTGAGAGTCATGGTTTTGTGAATATCTACAAGCGTTGACAGGTAATATCATCAACAAGAAAGGAAAAGGATGTCAAATTAGAGCCTCAAGTGGGACAAAAATTCGAAACAAGTATCCAAGGAAAAAAAGGACATCTTCGACTATTGCAGCAAAGGTACGTTGTTTAATGTTAAAAGAAAATCCCCCTAGTTCAAAAGGACAGTTGCAAAATCATTAAAATGCTCCTTGTCCACTGTAAACAAAATGAATAAACGTTTATTTAAATCTTAAGAAAGCGAAAAAACACAATGTGCATCGTCTTCGTTCCAAAGCATATCGCTCAACGCAGGACACGCTGCAGAATTCTATATGAGAAAAACTTATCCATAGAAAAATGGAAAACAATTGTCACAATAGATGAAGCATGGGTGTATTTAAATGATTGTAAACAAAAAAAGCCATTTATTATCATAAAAGGGGAGAAAAATTTAAGTACATGGTTCAAGAATCGAAAGAAAGTTTTTCTAAGGGATTCATGATTGTTGCTGGTTTTTCTTATAATGGCAAGTTAAAAATAAAGAGAGTGCAAAAAAATGTCAAGATTAACTCCAAATACTATCAGGAACATATTTTATCGCCAATTTTTCTGAATGAAATACCATCGCTTTACCCACAGTGCCATCAATCTGTGAGACTCCATGAGGACAAAGCTAGCAGTCACATATCAAAACCCACTGAAATTTCCTAAAAGAAATGGAACAAAAAACTCGTATCAAGGCCATACACTTCATTCATATCCCTACTAAATCTCCCGATGTGTCACCTATGGACTTTTGTGCTTTCGGACTTTTAAAAACTGCATTATCCAAACGTTGTCCCAAAACCCTCAGAGGACTCTGGAAAGCTGTTCAGGAGGAATGGGATAGAATACCTCTTCTGCCATTTCAAAAGGTTATTATTATCGTAGACATTGCGGTGTCGAAAGATAGTTCAGAATAAGGGATGTCAAATAGAACATTTAAAACACAAGAATTTTATGTAATTTAGTTTTGTGAATACAATATACATCGTCTAAAAAATGTGTGAACAGCCTCTGTACTAGACTCCTTTCACTTTGAAACCTATTTCGACTCTCTTTAAATGGCTGCATTTTTAACTAGCTGTATTTTCATCGTAAATTTATTCTTCTAATGCAATTTCCTTTCAATTATAAATTTCAGCTATTATTCTTAGCAGCAACGTATTACTTAGTCCAAAATGTAAGATAAAACAATAGCGCTGTTAAGTATAGTCTCGACACTTCTTGAACGTACATTTCATTTGGAGGTTATCTTTATTATATACATTTTAGCTGTCTTCATCGTGGAACGGTGTTTGATACACCAGGGTGCCTAGGCTGACTACCCCAAATCTAACATAGTTGAAAGCTTCGAAATATTTTACAAAGTAATTTATTTGAGATGCAGTATTTCTTTATTTAAATTTTAAAAAGATCCACGCACTATAAATTCAAGCCTCAGAGCTGTCTATGTCTAATCTATGTTATCAAGATAATTTCGAATCTAATAGATGTCAGGTGGTGAACAAATAAATACAATACACCCAAGATATAAATATACATAAATTAAAACAAAAGAATACCAAATAACATGACAAAGTAAATATAAAAATTCAAACTTTCATGATTACATTTGGATTGAGAATGGACATTGCCCTTTTTTATTGGTATCGTTCTTATAATCGTAATTATAAATTCTGAGTTCAGAGTTACTTATATCACATAAAAGAATGTGAAACTGTCTGGCCAGGTGCTAGTAAAAACTTCTCGGTGGAATTATGCCTTGTTCCGCATGAATTGCATTGTGTTTAACACAGTACTGTGCGTTTGCAATTTGCCGCAGAAACATGACTTCCTAAAAAACTAAAACAAAATTTGGCAACAGTACAAAACTTATCGAACCTCGCAACAATGAAAACGAAAACATCGGGAAAGAGACTGTTGAAATTCGGTAAAGTAGAGTGAGGTTTAGACCACTTTCGGAATATTAGACACTAATTTAAAAGGATGATATAATTCTAAAACTATATAAATAGGAGATCACTAAAATCGCTTACTTTTCCACCTGAAATACATGTAATCGTTGTTGGAAAACTATTGCCAATTAGTGTAAACAATATTCTGACCTAAAAGTGCAAGAAATTCAAATATTCTCAAATATTTGTTTCAAATATGTATACTCAAATATTTGTCTAATTCCTCCATAGAATCTTTCTACAATATGTATCATCTCATTGTGGCATACTTGACAATGAGGCGAAGGATACTCTGACAAAGAAAGGTACCAAATTAAAACAAAATCCTTCCGAACAAACATAATTTAAAACAGCTTCTGAGATCACAGCAACAAATTAAAAAATTATTTTATTTGTTATCTCCAAAGTCTGTCTAAACAAAATCTGGAGCAATAGCCTTGATGATTTACCACACTGCCCTAGAGAGAGTGCAATGGCTGTATTCCGACTGACAAGTTAAACATGACTACTTGATACTTATTTGAACATGATTGGAAGCATGAGGGAAGGAAATACAAAGTAACTACTTTTTCATTTAGCTGTCCATTCAAATCCATGATTACAAAAATTTATATTTCAGAAATCTTTCAATGAATCGTAATTTCTCAATTTATTGCTTAAATATCTAGATTTAACAATTACCCCCAAGTTCTGTAAAACAGAATTGAAACAGAATTTAGAGCTTCCTTTCTAAATGAACTAGATGTCGTGTTAAGCGATTGAAATATGATAAAAGGAACTAACTAAGAAGTAAAATAACGATGGAAAGCATCATGCAAATGATTATTCTGCACCAAGGTATGTGATATATGATGCTAATAAGCAGATTTTATTAATTATAATAAGTACACAATTATTCCTAAGAATTATCATTTTTAAACATAAAGGGCATTCATAAAAGGAATTTTATTAAATTAAATTAATCAATTATATTTAAAAAATAAAGATATATACTAGCAATAAATTTTAAATTGCTCCATTATTAAGCAACAAGTTAAAAAATTAAACGTAAATTAATTCATGAAACATCAAATAGTATTCATTCTGAAAATTAGCTATTTGGCAAGTTGCGTGGAAGATAAATGCTATGGAAGTGCATCGCAACATGACGTAACCAATCCAGCATTTAGAAAGACTTCATTACACATGTTCGTAAAGGCAAATGCAAGCCTTGCATGTATTTAAATTTTCCTTTATAAGGGAATTTTAAATACATGCCCCTTATAAGGGAATAATTAAACTGCACGGCCTGTCAAATAAATAGCCAAAGTATTCAATAAGTTGCAGATGAATATGTTATTTTGCAATAAATATTAAACAATGCATTATATACATTATACATTATATTCTTCATAAAATATGTTGATTTTTACATGTGTAATGTATTCCCATTTTAACTTAGAATAAAGGAATTTTAGGCTGGTAAAATAAAAAGAATTTATTTTTATTTCAGTTTTGCAGACTTTCAAAAATTAAACTTTGATAAGGGGATATTTTTTAACCTAAAATTTTTTATTGAAAATACAAATATATTAAAAAGTATTAAATTAGATATATTCTCATTGATAATAAGTAAATTAAATTAGGATAATAGGTTTAAATCTTGTAATTTTTGTAACATGAACTAATTAAAGAAATAATTATTCGATAATCCTAAGTAGCAATTTGAGGAAAAAAATTATAAGACTTATGTTTTCCCTTATGACAAAAAAATTATGGACAAATTAATATCCTTTAAGAACTCCTAATTGGATAAATGTATTACTTATACATGAAACATAAAATATTCTATTTCCGACACCGATGTTGCTACATTCATAAGATTTTCTGATGTTTTATCTATTATATATTTTATTGCTCTTTAAAAATATAAAGCAATATATTCCTGAAAATAATTTAAATTTCTATTCTAACATTTAGGCTGCTGTATTACTCGGTTGTAACATATTAACGTTTTTCCAGTCTCTTTTGGGGCTCTTAATAGCAACATAGTAACTGTAATTGTATTATCAGCAAAAAATGAAAATACTTACATTATTAACTATTTTAAAAATCTAGCTTTTAAGCAGAAACATAAAACTTTCTTATATTTCTAATAAAATTGCTTTTGAGCTTTTTAATTAGACTATGAAAAAGTATTTATTGTGGGTCTAATTTACCTTTTAATTATTTTTCCTCTCAGTGCTATCGAAAAAATATATATCTCTGTACAATATTCGAAATGTGCTGTCAATTTACTTCTTCCATGGAGTTTAAATAATCTCATGTTAAGACAAATCTCTCATATTGAATATTACTCCTTGTTCTTTAGTCTTCATGTCAGTCGCGGTTGAAACCGATTTCTAAAATGATTGTATTATTCTGTTATAAACAGTTTATCCGTTGTGTTTTTTGTTATATATTTATTTTAAAAAGTTATTCCTTTAAAATATATAGAAAGCCTATTCATTTCTTTCTTTTTCATTAAATATTAAAACAAAAATATGTCATTATGACTGATTTATAAATAGTCATCGTCACTACCATACATATACAAAAGGAAAATACCAACAGATATCATACATATATCAACAACGCAATGTGAGGCAAATTACCAACGAAACTGCGGTGAAAATTGCTTATAATAAATTTTTCATGTGACTTAGTTGAGAAAAGCGATCAAGACAAGTTCAGCATATTCATTTATAAAAAAGTAAATCAAGCTTTCAGTCCAACAGTTAAAATCTAAACGAACAAAATAAAATAGTAATTTTTCAGTCTGTAATATAGTTATATGCAATGGGTCTATTTCCAATTTCTAAATGTGAATAGATAATTCAAATTATGTTTCACATTTGTTCTTATAATTATTTAAAAAATATTAAGAAAGCGTTTTATTATTATTACACCTATTCTAGTGGGAAACACTTAGCGTTTTGCATTTAATGGTATATAATGTATAATACTTTAAGGCAATACACTCCTTTTACTTTTCTATAATATAAAATATAATATAATAAAAAAAATATATTTTTAAAGAAATTTGCGTAATAATTAAGAATTAGTTTAATTGCTTGTATGTATCGATTGATATTATCTATTTGGGGATATAAACAGTGTTTTATTTTATAAATTATAAAGAAAGGGTATAAAAATTCTTCTTTTTTATATTTAATTAATTGTAACAAATGTAACCATTTATTTGTAAACAACTAAGTTCTAATCCAAAAGCAAGAGTTTGTGATAAAACGTTGTAAATAACAGTAAAAATTCCGTTGATAAAAGACACGCAATCTCAGAAATCCAGTTACAAAATTCTAGACATATAAACGTAATTACAAAATTATAGACATCATCTAGAAACTGTTTATTGTGTCTAATTATTGAAATTCTAGACATCATCTAGAATATTCTAGACATCATTGTAGAATTACAAAATTCTAGACATATAAACGTAAACGCAAATCCTGACCTGTTATTAAATGCAATTTAAACCTTACGTATTAAAATAGAAATTTTTAAAAAAGGCTCTAATTGCAATCCTTATTGTATAAAAATAAAAATCCTATTTCACTTCCCTTATGTTACTTATTCTCCATAATTTCATGCTTTACTGCTTAGAGTATTTCTAAGAAAGATAAAGAGGAGATATGCTTCATATGTCAAATGTTTGCAAATGTTTGCATTTAAATTTCTATTAGGAAAACTGGAAGTTATAAAAGGAGAGATTCAGCAGCATGGAAAACCAGTTTAAAAAGGTCAAGCGGGGAGAAAGACAGCAAAACGAAAATATATGTATATTTGTTCAAAGTCCAGTTTTTATCTTTTAGCAAATAAAAATCTGGCACAAGCTGCTTCTTAAGAATGTGTCAAACTTATTTATCTTCTTTAGGTTACAATCGGAAAGCAAAGGGAAATGATAGGGATAGTTAAATCATTCAGTATTCATTTTTCTCCGATTTCTCGCATGAAAGGTTTATAGTTTTTAAGATGATAACAGTTTTCTTCATGGTAATTACTTAAGATAAATTTGATAGCATAAAGTTGTTTTTAAAGAAAATATATTTTGCATGTTCCTATGATGCACGTAAGTTAAGATTCTGTTATTTATGTTTTATTTTATTTTAATAAGTATTAACATAACTGATTAGGTAATTTACACGGTTTAACGGACATATGGTTTTAATCAGATATCAAAAAGTAAGAAAATACATTTTTGAACTCTTTGGAATGTTATTAATTTCTGCTTTGTTAATTTCCGGGATGAAATGGAAGTAGATGTTACGCATGTTAACTCCCATATATATGTATATATATCGAGAGAGAGAGAAGAGTTTTCGTAAAGTTTCAAACCAAAATAAACTTTAAGTAATTATAATTGCCGATTATGAAAGTAATTTTAGACATTAAAACTGTTAAACAGAAAGGTTCCAAGGGAAAATTCAATTAATCTTTGGGGTATACCTAAAAGAACTTTCAGAGTTTTATTATGGAAATATGATACATTGTAAATTATGATTTGCTGTTATAACGAAATTGTAAATTATGATTTGCCGTTATAACGAAATTTTTCTGTTGTGTAAGTTCTTCATTTTAGAAAATAATGTTAAAAGTAAAGAGATTAAAGAAATAAATTTGACTTAGGAAGAGTAATTTAATTCAATATCTGTAGCTAATAATATGATACGCGTGAAACTTCAGATGGCAACTATAGAGAAGACGTAGCAGAAACAAATGCCAGAATTTTAAAATCTAATTATTATATTAATGAATGAGATACAAAATTAAATGTAAAATGCAATTGAATTGTTAAAAATTGCGTATTTTCTGGGTAACTTAAAAAAGTATAAAACCCTAGGATAAAAATTATTCCAAACATATTTAGAGAGCATTTCCTATTGTGGTTCTTAATAATGTTTAAATGCATTAATAATTTTTATATGCAGTATTCGCTCTTACATAGTCACATTTCAGAACATAAGATAAGAAAATTATTTTATTGTTGACAATGTCTTTTTAATGAAATATATCATACTGGAATTTCAAACAGAATATCCTAAAATCCAAATTAATTTTGCTTTAATAATTTTAATTTGTTTAATGTTGTAACGTTACAACTTGGAGAGTCAATGTAGGTGCATTTAAATGGATGGCTATAACGCTTAAATCCGAGCATGTGAAGAAAACGTTATGGCTTTAATGACTATATTTTAGTAATAAAGGTAATAAAATATTAATGATAATAAAGATAATAAAATAGTAATAACAGAAGTAATAAATTTTTTTTAAAAAAAATCTGAAAATTTTCAGATTTTATATTACGCCAAAAGGTTTTTTTTTTTTTTTTTTTTGCATTTACATACACATACATGTTTCGAGAGCATTTAGGATAATATCCCTTTGGTTAAAAATGTTTAGAAATAGCATATCTTTTTTATATTTAAGAATATCCGTTAGACAGTCTCGCGCGCTGGAGATAATTTTTTTTTTATTCCATATAGAATTGCCATTGCTCGCTTTGCATTCGTTGAGGTTGTTAATTAAAAATCCGTTAAAGTTTTACAAAATATGAAACACACAATAAAATATTTAAAAACAACATATCCTTATAATTTCCGATAGACAGTCTTGTGCACTGGACATAAAAATGTCTTTTCCTGTACAGTGTTGCCAATGCTCGCTTTGAAATCATTGAGTTTGTTAATCCCAAATTAGTTAAAGTTTTACAAAATATGAAATAGACAATAAAACAAATTCCAAATTCGGACTTCCAGTTGCTCATATTAGGGTGTAAAACTCCTTTTTTCAAAATTTGATGGCTCTAGGTGCCGCTGTTTTTTCACAATGCAAAAACCATACATGCATTCATGCAGATTCTTCATTATTTAATTTTTTCTAAATATAATACAGGGCAATAATATTTGATGGCAATAATTTAAAAAATGATAAGCTGTTTATTGTGACCGAAGCAAAATGCCGTTTCGAGACTAATAGCCCTTCTGGGCTAACGTTTCTTTGGGCTAATAATAATAATGCTTAATACTGTGTCGCTACAACTTCGGGTAAGTGCATTTAAATGGTTGGCTATAGTGCTCAGATTAAATTCGAGCATATGAAAAAAACGTTATGGCTTTAACGGTTGTATTTTAGTAACAAAGTTAGTAAAAATATAATAATAAAGCCTAAACAATCTAACATGTAACACAATTTCAGGCACTTATTTCATGGTCTGATTAAAGTATCTGAGTCTATTCTGAAGAAATGTAATAATCCTCACTGATAAGGTACTTATTTTAGCACGTCTACATACTTAACATTCCATCTTATAACTTACCTAAATTAGAATGAAATTTCAGACATTTTCTTTGTGAGTATCCTGCTTTTATGCCTTACACTCTGGAGGTATGTATGAAATTTGATTATTTATCGTAGCCAATAGAGTAATTTTATTGAACGTTAATAAAATTCATATTAAAAGAATTTTCAAATTACGTTGATGCCAGGTTACATCTCATCATGATTACATTTCAACATTAGTATCATCTGAGGTTCTTGCTCTACAGCATCAGATAAGCTGCCCTCTAAAATGATTTGTTATCAGAATGTATTCCAGCTATCAAATCTTAATGTATCAAACCGCGATTTTTATAACTGTTGACATTTTTTTACCAGTTAACCCGATAGGGGAGGGGATACGGAATAACGCAGAAGATTAAGATGAAACAGCGATTGATTTTCTTGCGATTATGGAGAAACATTCGCAGAAAATTATAAGTCGATCAGTTTTTCAATGAGAGGGGAAAACAATTTCCAAATGTAATTATGGTGGTAGTGGTATAATTATGATCTCATAATTATAATGTATTGAAAACCTATACTAAATATATTTTGTACGGAGTGTAAAAATATATCTTGAAGTAAATAGATACAGTACTTTTGTGTTCCCCAGTATATTATAAAAGTCCTTCCACAAAAGGATGCTGTGACGCTTCCAAAATAATCAGAACCTCTCTAGACTGCTAAGTCCTAAATGCTTCCTAAACTGTTAGAATCTCTTTAGACCACAAGCAGAGCAATATTTCGCTTGATCCTTGTGCAAACTCTCTTGTAAAATCATCCATCACCGCTTATAGAGCGTAGGACTCTGGAATTTTCTTTTTTCTTTCTTTTCACTATCGGCAGAACCAGATGGTCCATTGGGTTAGATGCTCGACTAGGTATGTCGTCTGCAGGAGTTCTTTTCTGAGTAAACGCATTGTTATTTTATAAAAACAGTTTACTTAATATCTTCCAATCTCGTTCTCCCTTTCTGTCTCGGTAACAAGTGTTTCAGAAAGAAATATTTATTATAGACGGAAATATAATAATACTTGAAAAGGAAGCGAGACCAATATAAAAATCAAAATTAGAAAATTTTAACTTAAATTGTCTTGATTAAAATGTGCAGATCAAAGTCAATCTATGCAATATGCTTATTAGGAATTACTCAGTAATAATAGTAAATTTGTATGCTGCCCCAGGCGGTATAGTGGTTAAAGAAGCCTGACTGCGATACCGAAGAACCTGGGTTCGAATCCCAGGGAAGGCATGGTTGTAACTGTCCGTCCCTTCATAGGAGGCAATGGTGGCCCACAGGTGCCTCCATAATAAAGAGAGAGACCGCCACAGCTGGCCTTGTATAGATTAATGGACTTGGTTACACTGTAACGATTCACAAACTTCCATTAGGAAAAAAAGTAAATTTTTATTCTTTTTGTAAACATAAACATAAAGTAGTTATTATCAAATTCTACATTGCCTTTTGAATAAAGGCGTTTTTTGTAGTCTAAATAATGCTTTATAACAGCAGTATGAAATTTTTTATTAAGAACATTTTTCTTCATTCCAAGAAATTCTCTTCTCTCATTTATCTCATTAAAATAATTCTGTCATGTATTTAGTGTAGAACAAATAAAATAAAATAATTACAAATAAAATTAGTTAGTAATTGTATTTACATTATTTCCATGGCAGTAGTTCATAGTCATTATTCATAAAATTAATTTACTTTTGTAAAATTAATCCTCAGTATCAAAATTTAAATAATCGAACATATCACTTATTCTAAGGTTCGAGCTTTCACACATAATATAGTAAAATGTCTAACACATTGATGGAAAATAGAATACAAAATAAGCCAAGAAAAATAATATAAGGAATATCTAAAACTGATCATTTTCTCTGAAATTTGAAGAAAATTCTTGGCTTGTAATAACAAATAACAGATATTTGTATTTCTAAAATTTTTAGCAACTTAAAAATTGACACTTTAATATCATTTAAATTAAACGTACCATTTTAGTGAGATTGAGAGACTTAATGGGTTGTAAGTGTTTTATCAATAAATAAATATCAATACATTATAATAATTAGAATAAGCAAAATTTAACGGTAATCAATTTTCAAAAGAAAATTGGCATAGCAAATTACAAAATCTCGTATTTGGGTTTCGGCTTTTTGCTCTATAAAACTGAGGAAAAAATACCAGTTGATCTGTATGTGTAAAGATCAAAATACATTTTTTCAATCCTATCGTGTTCAATACTTTGAATCATAAAACCAAGTTTGGAAATTTATTGAAATACTTATACTTACTTATATTTGTATCCTCATCAAGATCTCTGGCGATGAAAGGAGTTGGCGGTAATAAACGTCTTGTCTCCTGTAAAATGTGCACCTTGTATGTTATATGATTACATAAAGCAAAATTATCATATATCACTTTCATATCTCTACTTAAAATGAAATTTTAAAAAGCAACTGAACAAATATTTAACATTAGTAAAACTAATATATTTCTTTCCATCACGTGAAAACAAATGTTATAAAATCAAATTTGGTTCACATTTATTAGAATGACGTTTGTCCAACCGGCGACTATCTAAACTCCTCGATTATCCATTACTTTAACTTATCTCTCCTTTTTTACCACGAACACACTTCTCAGCTTCTCATGTCTAAATAAATGTCAAATGCTGATGATAGACTTTAATAAATTTGCGCATAATATAAATAAATAAGAAGATAAAATGCATAGAAGTTTAGGTTAGGCTATTGGAATATGACACACGAGAGCAATGTGCTTAAGGGAAAAGATGACTTCATGGAGAACTTTCCAGCGGAAATTGGTCCGTTTTCACGTCACACATAGAAAACCCTCAGACAATACCTACGAAGTTGTCTGTGTGTTATAAAGATAAAGGCTTAGCATTAGGCGACATTTGACTACAAGCAGAACGTACCATTGGTAAGCTACGGATATTTATCAGAAAATAAAAGTCTTTGTGAAAACACTTTGAAGCAATTTTTTTAAGTATAATCCAGTATTTTACAATTCAAAAGATGTTCAAAATTACATCGTATTAATGACAATTAAATAATTAAATATTAAAACAATATTAAAACTAAAAACATATCGTTTCAAATAGGGAATTATAAGGTAATTTTAATCTACATTTTCGTAAATTTTCTGGTTAATTACATTTGGGATATTTTCTATCTAAGTATATCAGAGCAGTTTTTATCTATTATTTCTTCAAAATAAACAAGACCTGGTAGATATACGGAGCTAATAATACACTTCTTGTCTTAGATGCTTATTTAGATGCTTAATAATAAGCATCTAAGACATTTTCGTACGCTTTAAAATAACTCTAATTTATCTAAATAATTAGGATAAATTTTTGATAATGTTGTTATCTAGAACAGATAATTCGAAACCTTATTACACAACAAACTCTATAATTAAGATTAAACTCGTAAGCGACAGTATATTATTGATTTATTTTTCTAAGATTGCATTTACTTTCGCTTTTCTTTCTGTTTTGGGTTTTGAATATTTCAGACTGCAAGATTAAAATGAAAATGTAAGCTTATAGGTATAGTTTATACTTCTCTTGAATTTTTCTTATGACATATTCTGCTAGACATTTTTTCCTTTTATTGAGAGATATGCATTTCTTTCGCAATGCTTTGTGATAATAAATGAATTAAAGAAAAAAAATCTGAAAACTTTCAGATTTTACATTAAACCTAAGGGGTCATTTTTCTAACGTTTCGTCTGTTAGCTTTATTTATTAAATATCATGTTCTTCGCACTTAAACAACAAAATTCAGTTCAACAGCAATATCGCAAAATAATTTTAAAATTAGAATATCTTTAGAATTTCTGATACATAGACTCGCGCGCTAGAGGGTGTTTTTTTTTTTTTTTTTTTTTTTTTTTTATAATTTTAGTGTTGGCATTGCTCGCTTCGAAATGGCTGAGTTTATTAATCAAAAATTCGTTAAAGTTTTACAAAATATGAAAGAGATAAAAAACAAATTCCAGATTTAGGCTTCCAGACGCCCATATTCGGTGGAAGCGTACGTTATTCAAACTTTGATGGCTCTAGGTACCGTCGTTTTATCACAATGCGAGAAACATACATACATTTATGGAGATTCTTCATTATTTAATTTCTTTAAATATAATACAGGGCTGTAATATTTGCTGGCAACAGTTTGAAAGTTGAACCGATATTTAAAGTTTCAACGCAAAATGTCAAAACAAAATTAATAGCCCTTCTGGGATAAGCCCTTTGGGCTAATAAACACATTTTGAAATAAATTAGCTTTCTATTAAAAAGAATTTGCACCAAACCTACTTTCAAGACGCAGTCGAGATATTTGAGCTCCTTAATATCCTCCAACATAATGGGTTTATCTTCATCATCTCCTAATACATCATCCAATTCTTCATGTACTTTCTTTTGAATTTCCGGATGAAGGCCCAGCATATACAACGCCCAACTTAGCCCAGAGGAAGTTGTATCATGACCCTGTGGAAACGAAACATATATTTAGATACGGACCAGTCTGACTTAATTGCACTAGGTTATTATAAAAGTAATCAGTTTATAAAAATCTAGTTACCTCTTATTATTTATTTACCTCAACTTTTAATTTCCGTTTCAGTTCATTTTTCACTTTATGGGAATATTATTACTGTGTTCATAAATTTATAAGAACTGAATTCGTAGGAGATTTAAACTTAAACCCTACTTAGATTTGCAAAATTCTTCCTTTTCTTTTTTTTTTTTTTCAACTTAATAGAAATACTGAATAAAATCTTCACTTGTGTAATAGTACGATTGATCTGTTGATTAGATTTTGAACCAATCTTCAAGTGAACAGTTAGACTTTATTCACTAAAGCCTTAAAGCAAATGGATGTGGATGTAACAATAGCGAAACATCAGTTCCATGAGATTTTTAGTTACGATTATTAGGCTAAGATTCTTAGTTGCAATCTACACTTTTAAAAATCGAATTCATTTAGCTCATTTCATTCCCTTCCGGCTTGAAATGAGTTTTCAAGTTATTATATATGATAAAAATTTAAGACGTGACGTTGAAGATGATGATGATAAATAATTGGTGCATAAAGATATAGATAGTTTTCAATGACGATACAATGATGGCACTTTTAGAGATAATTTTAATTTAGACGGCACTGCACGCGTTAAAATAGAACTGAAGCTGTATGTTAACTAAGCGACAGCAAAAAACTAAAGCGAAATATATTGTTCAATTACTTAATTTGTCATTGGAGGAAAATAGCTTGAATTTCACCCACACATATTCGATTGGTGACAGGTTAGGAGAGTACGGTAGCCAGGGAAGCACCTGCATACCTTGCAGAGCATGTTGACAGATGGCGAGCACTGTGTGGTCCGGCGTTATCCTGCTGGAAAAATTGCATTAGGTAGCCCCTGAACGTAAGGGATTGCCACCGGCCGCAGTACATTATCCAAGTATCGTTGGGCCGTCATAGTGCCCTGAATACGAACTAGAGGTGGCCTGGAATCGTAGGCAATAGCGCCCTAAACCATTATGCCACGTTGTCGTGCGGTGGGGCGTTCCACAGTTACTAGCGGATTAGATCTGTCTCCACGTCGACGCCACACACGTATGCGGCGACTGAAATTGGATAAACAGAATCGTGACTCATTTAAGAACACGACGTTTCGCCATTCTGTCATCCACCTCGTTCCAGTCCGGCACCATTCTAAACGTGCTTGCACCGTTCCAAACGTGTCTATGCTGTGGGGTCAATAGCAGTCTTCTTAACGGAAGCCGTGAGTGCAAGCCACGTTCAACCAATCGACGCGAAATGGTTCTGGTCGACACGGGAGCATCTAGGGCATCTTGCACATGCTGCAGAATCACGGTACAAGTGACTTGCGGGACCGCCACAGCTTGTCGGCGGATGCGTAGATCCACGCGTGCTGACGTCACTCTGGCTGCACCTGCACCCCTCCTTCTTTCCACATTTCCTTGTTCCAACTATGTTCGCCATAGCCGATGCGCCGTTCTGGCATCAATGTGTGTATCAACTGCGATTTGACAGGTGACGAGGACGGGGACGCCTGGTGTTTAACGGAGGTAAACAGGCATATGTCCCACGCCCTCCCCTATATAGATACAAGAACTCCCTGGGGTCCCACAAGGGCGCACCGGGAGTTACTGAGCCTTCATTAAAAAGTTTACATGGCCATACAGGGGCTATTCCAGTTTGACATTGGTTCTGTACAGATTCTTATGTTAATGGTTGACCTGGGTGTTCATAGGCCATAATGCATACATGAAACATAACATTACATACATGATATATGACATGACATTAAACTTATACATAATACTTGCATGAATTAGTACATACATACTTTACACTTCACATGACATTAGACTACATATACATAATGCATGACATTAATCTACACTTATTAGAGTTATAACCTGACTGTATACTACGTTAAGCTAATTGTATTGCGAACTTGCTAAGTTACTTTATAACTGGATTACTTATAGTTTACATTATTGCTATTACTTCTTAAATGACATTATGCTATATAACAAGATAGACACACATACTTTGCCTTATAATCATATATGCGTTACTTAAAATAATACACATGGGGCACGCGTTACACGCGCTAATGACTACATTACCGATTACGTTATGTTAAAAGTACACATAGGAGGACGTATTACACTCATTGATTAAATTACTTACATTACACTATTACTTACATTACTTACATTACACAGTTACTTATACACTTACATATTTACAATTTTAGACATAACACCTGCTAAGTTACAATAGAGACATAGAATTATTGCGCTGTGTATGCTATTATTCCTATGTTGGTTGGCAGACATCCTGCCCTAGGGCGCTCAGCTGCTGTATAATTTTACATATATTTCTTATCGCAGGTGCGTGTTTGATGATGAACCTCTTATAAGGTACTATATCCTAGTGGGATATGGTAGGTGATGGCTCGTCGTGAGGCTACAGTTGAACACGTAGTGGTCGGGGGAGCCAATTTTCCCACACACATACGCTTCTGTCATGGAGATAGCACGCTTATAAAAGAAGGTGGGAAAAGGGCCCTGCCCCGTGATATAGTTTACTAAAGGGGGTATGGTTGTAAGCGTTCTTTATCTACTACAGGGTAGAATTCGAAAGTCCTTCTGCCGGTATCTCCATTCTCCCATTCGTGTTGCCATTGTTTATTCCCTATGTCTCTTAGTTGTCTTTTTAAAATGACGGCGGGATTAGTGCTGAGACAGCCTGTGCATTATTGTTGATTGCTGCCTCATTGGCCAGTTGATCTGCCATCTCATTGCCTGCGATCCCAGAGTGGCCTCTTACCCATTTTAGCTTGATGTTAGATTGCTGGTTGCTATGCAATGTCTGTTGGATTTGCAGGATTATGGGAGATGTGTGATGATGATTCTTTAATGCCTGCAGCACTGACATGCTGTCTGTGCAGATTTCTGTTCGTGCAAGTTGTATGTCATGTGCGTACTGTATTGCCGCTTCAATTGCTATGGCCTCCGCGATTTGACATAAGGACTGCGATTTGACATAAGGACCAACCCGTCCTATCTCAGTCCGATCACCATACCCCTCGTAAAATCGTCTATCTGCTGGAAGTGGCTTCGTTGACAGTGGCCTGGCATTCTCTATTATAACACGTATCCTGCGGGACAAAAACCAGCTTTCTTCCATAATTTCGAACGAACAAACGTTTAGAATGTACTGTTACTTATGATACAAAGTTATTTTAACGACATATATGTTCATTACGTATATTATATTAAATTACAGATACTTATTAAATTACTATAACTTTTTTCTATATAGTTTAATGCATTAAACTATATAGAAAAAAGTTATAGTAATTTAATGCATTAAACTATATATAAATAATTTATACGTAAATAAATTATGAAATACAACAAAAAAATGTCCTGTAGTCAAACAACTGATTCCTATAAAACATTTTGTTATACAATATAAGCATTTTCTTAAAACAAGCATTCTCTTTCCCTCAAACTAATCATAGTAGAGCGACTCTACAAAAATAGATTTAACAAAAATGACCAATCTCTAAATATTTGCTACTGTTGTTTTCCTTTTATAAGACCCTAAAAGACATTCGATTTATCTCCGAAATCCGTATAAGACAGGAAATAAATCTGAGCCATTAACTTCACCATTGCTGCGTCGTTGTTTGTTCCCAACTGCATTGAAAAAATATGAAATATATTAATTTCTGTTTATAAAGAGTACTGGGGAAAATTTCATTCATGTAATATGAATGTTCTTTTGCATATTCTATACACGAAATGTTATTCATTGCGTGTGAAATGTAAACAGCAGAAGCAATCCTGTAGAATGAAAATGTTATATACAGAAACGTTTCAGGTAAATAAATGTGTGCTATTTTAAGTGGAGTAACTCTCATAGAAAGAAGTTTATTGCTTTGTGAAAAATGAAATGTATCAAATACGGTTAAAAAAATTATATTCTATTAATTCATACAGAGAAATTTATTGTTCTCTGTGAAATGTATTAAATACGGTAAATAAAATTATATTCTATTAATTCTATACATTTTTCAAAAGTGATAGTTGCAGGCTTTAATTCTTGAAATACGGGTCCAGAAATATTACTTTTTTTTTGCAAGTTAATTACAATTGGATAGTGAATTTCATGAAAGCAGTTTTTTTAAAGTGAAAAGGCTATGTTAAATGAAATCTCAACTTCTGTATCCTCCTATAAGAGGAAAATTTCCAATTACTGAATTTCTCGGTGTGATTTAATAAGTTCCATACAAAAGATTCCATAACGTTTTATGAAAGATTTGGTAGTGCCTTGGACAATAAATTCATCAGATTAAACTAATTTTTTGTGCTTTCATAGAGCTAATCCGAAGAATTTTCGTTTAGATTTAAAGAAAATTTTCATTTAAAAGTGGCTGTTTCGGGAGATTGGTAGTTTTGTGTTGGATGCAACAGCACGCTTTATTAATTTTCAGATGGTGTTGTGAAACTATTGATTAGGTATAACTCTTTGAATTTTGTTCAGAAAGACGCGGAAATTTTTCATGATTTTAAATCTCAGAGAGTACTAGAAAATTTGCCATACGGGACCATATATAAAATGTCATATTTAATATCTCTGGAGAGTAATTCAAGTGGTTAATAATTTCAAGAAGATATATCTAGGAAGAACATACAATATGTGTTGAAATATGATTCGGTTAAAATTAGGAAAATAAAAAAGGCAAACGCTTATCTTCTGTTTTGCCGGGCAATTTATTAAGTTCCTCAACTGCTTAAAATATTGTGATCATTATTACAAACAACAATGATTTAAATACCAGCTGTGCTAGAAAAGAAAAGGATATTCATCTTTCTACTGACTTCAAATATGGATTGGTTCAAAATGTCCAAAATCCACCTTAAGTTCTTACTCGTCTATATCT